CTCACTTGGTAGCCCAGGCTGGCCTCGAACTCACAGAGATCCGCCTGGCTCTGCCTCCCGAGTGCTGGGATTAAAGGCGTGCGCCACCAACGCCCGGCAGAATTTTCCGTTTTTATACCCGAAAAGTACACTTGCATACGTTAATTTTAAAACGTTAACATAAATCCTTTTTCTCTTCATTTCTCAAGGTGGATCAAAGATGGCCCTTCCTCCAAGTAAGTGGCTGGCATTTCTTCTCTTTTTGAGGAGAATCACAAGGCAGAGCTGAACTCCATTCTAGATTGGCCAAGAAGGGCTTATTTAGAAGACCCAGCAAAACAAAGTAGTCATTGTCAAAGGGTTAAACCGAAAGCAGAGAATCAGGATAAGTGTTCCAGTGTTAGAGTACAGGCCTGGACAGTGTTGGCTTGTCCTCTGTGGTGGGATGGACGTGCACTGTCTGTACTGTATCTGTAGTGTCCTTTTTCATACACACCCAGACGCATTTCTTAACCCAGCCATTTAAAAGGTGACAGTACTGCTGAGGCCCCCAGACCTATGTGTGTGAGCAGGACTGAAGCCCGTGCCCAACATTTTCCAAACTCAGGGATTGTGTTTGGTACCTTTGGCCGGCGAGTTCTCATTCCCTGCTCGGCATTGCTATCAAGGCAGTCAGGGGAGCCTAATCCTCACCCCACTGCAGAGGCTTCACCGTGCCCCCCAGATTGGCTTCCCCTGCATGGTCTGCACTGCCTATCTCCTGTGTTCATCACATGCCCCCTTCCCTGCAGGCCCGTTGCTGAGTGTTTCCTGCTCTGGAGAACTGATCAGTAGTAGCAGACAGCCACAACTTCCTGAAGTGAGCATGGTCTCACCGGCCTGAGAGGAGTCCTTGGCATATTAGCCTTCTGGGTTGGGTGTCTGTCTGAGCAGGCCTGGGTGCTTCTGGCATTCCTCCTGGAATCCCTAAGGCCTTGACTTTCTAGTGGAGACCCTGATTTTGCATGGCCAGCTGGAGCTCAGGACTCTGTAGAAGGTGTCCAGAAGATCCCTAGCCCTATCTCTAGATGAGGTGCTAAGGAGCAAGCAGAGCCTCGGCTTTGATTCAGGATAGGGTGGCATTCCTCCGGGCTCAGTGCTCCTTCTCCCTGCAGTTTCCAAGGACCAGAGGGCAGGGTGGTGACCAGGTCTCCAAGCTAGTGCTTGGCACATCATAACCTTCTGTAGGCGCAGTTGCGATTGCTCCCATGTTGCTGCTGTGTGAAAGTTTGATTCTGCATGCCTGTGTGGTGCATATATGTGTGATGATGCATGTGTGTTGCTGCACACTGTGCTGGCTACTCAGACCTAGACTTGTCTCTTGCAGAGTCTTTGGATTCGTGGCCAGGAAGCAGGGCAGTGCTACAGACAACGTATGCCACCTGTTTGCAGAGCACGACCCCGAGCAGCCTGCCAGCGCCATTGTCAACTTTGTGTCAAAGGTCATGATTGGCTCCCCTAAGAAGATTTAAGCCCCTCCTAGCCAAACCCACCAGGTGCCTCCTAGGGCCCTCGAAATGGCAGTGGGGTGAGGCGGGGGCCCCCATTTGTACCAGACTGACAATCCTCACATTCCAGACCCGAGAGAGGAGAATATGGCAGCTCTTCAAACCAGGAACAAACAATGTCACCACAGATTGGCCTTTCCTGAGAGTAACTTCTCATCCAACACACTTATATAGTCAAGCCCATTTTGAGTAGAAGGATCTTGGGCGAGGGAATGCCTCCCCAGGGTCCCATGGACAAGGGCTATACAAGAAGAAAGTATAGAAGACAAGGCAGCCCCGAGTCCCTGGCTCACTAGCATCTGCGTGGATGAGGGGCACCCAGTCTGCTTGGCAGGGGCTGAGTAACCATGGTGCCCCACTTGTCAGCAGACGTGCTCTGTCCAGCGACTCCCTCATCTTGTCATTCTACAGCAGACGGTGATGCAACTGAGGAGGGGATGCATGGTTAGTGAAGGTTCGTGCAGGTTGGAACATGGTGGGAATCTACGTTAGGGGACCGTGGAAGGGATGTGCAGTGAGGGCAGTGGAAGCCTCTGGTGTCGGGAGGAACACGCAATGTCAGAGACCCCACTGCCGGTGGTAAGGACTCCATGAGGCTGCTCTCAGGTGGCCAGCTGGGCTATGGAGAGCCTAGAGGACCTTGAGAGGAAAGTGAGAAGACGGAATCAAAAAAAACCGCCATTTTATATAATTTATATTTTACTTATGCCAAATTATTTATAACCGCTTGCCATTGCCATACTGTACCCATATCAAATGCTGCAGCCGACTAAGCCGTGATTGCTGGAAGGCTTGTCCACTTGTAGACACACCGGAGACAACTGTCCCCTCGAGGAAAAGGTGAACAGTGGTTTCAGGGTGACACTACAGAGTCCTTCATCTGCAGTACTGCCAAACAGTTTTGCCTCCAGCAGCCCACCTTCTACTTGGCACAGTGGTGTGTCTTGCCCAGATGTGGATGATTTCTCTCCTGGTGGGTAATGTCCAGGAGAAATGAGAGACTAAGACACTGGGATCAGTCTCAGCCTCCTCTGCAAGACTGACAGGGCCTTCTCCAGGCCTACATGACCTAAAGTGCATCTGGCATTTCTAGGCTGTTACCATGATTCTCCTTGTGGCACCTGCAGCCTTCCGTGGGGACCTAGGCGGATGTCAGGAGGGAGAGAAAGGGGATGAAGAGAAAGATGGAGAATTCTAGTTCTCACAGGCTAGGGTTGGTTTGCTGAGTCCTCTTAGCCACTGAGTCAGATGTGATGGTTCATGCTAAGATCGGCACCCTGGTGTTGCAGGTTTCCTGCCTGCTTTTGTCTGTGGTCAGAGATTCTGAAGAAGCCAGTGAGCCCAGCACTTCCCAGAGTGGAGGTGCAGCAGGGCTATGAGGAGACAAAGCCAGGGTCTCCTCTCAGAACTTTATACCCCAAGAAGGCTCTGATCACCCCCATCCCAGCCTGAAATCCCCACTCTCTGATTCCTAAAACCCAATGCCAGCTTAGACATCTCTTAGCTGGGATAGGCTATCGTTGTCAGGCTGGGGTTTGGAAATCTACATGATGGGTTCTCTGTTTCAAAAGGGGCAGAGAAATGTAACTGCATGTAGAATTGAAATCAACTCTGTCGGTGTGTGTGTGTGTGTGTGTGTGTGTGTGTGTGTGTGTGTGTGTGTGTGTAAAGGTGGGCCATTCCACTTGTAGCTCCTGTGTGTGTCTGTCTGTGTGTGTATACAGGTGGACCATTCCACTTTTTAGCTCCTATTGATGCACCAAAAGCAAGTGCCTCATTTCTGTGCCAAATGTTTGCCTTGGTCTTTAAGGACCTCCTTCGTGGACACACTCTGATGTGCCTGTTAGAGGGAATGTGCCAGCACTCCCCAGAGGCCCCATGTCTTCCACAGAGGCTTCTAGTGTTTCAGTTATCCATATGCAGCTAAAATCCAGATCGGGTGGGGGTGGGAGCGGGGCTGAAGTGTGTGCTCTGGCCAAGAAGTGCCGCATCCTATGATGGTTTATATGCAAATGTGACCCAAAGACTATAAGCCAGGGCCCTTCTGCTGGAGGGGGAGAGGGCCTAACTAGAAATCAGCAGGGCAGAGCTGAAGCAAGCCTTCTAATTAATTGGAGACTTCAGGGCCTCCCACAGTGGTCAGCATGGAATGCATCCAAGAAGCCACCTGAATGTGCTCTAGAAACTGACTGACCAGGTATGACCTTTACTCAAGGTAAAAGTGGTCAAGGGTATTAAGGAATTTGCTCTGAGGAACCACAGGAAGACAGCTCTCCATCTTCTAGGAGCTGGTAGGACGAGGTTCTGTCTTCTGTGTGTAATGTGTCTATAGAACAGAACAAGATGAGGCACAGCATCCGAGACTGTACTGCGTGCCCAGAAACACTGGCAAGGGGCATTGTCCAGGCTTTTCTCACAAGGGCATCAGTTGGGCACAAGTTAGCTCACTATTCTGGGAGTAAATTCAGTAATGCCCCCCCACTTCCGATAGATAGCCAGGGTCCCATTAACCTTCTCATTAATGGTCTTATAGTCTCCAGTGTTGGGCTGTACCCATGTTAGAAGCCACACTGCATTTATCCTCAGTGTCAAAGACATCGTAATGTTGCCTTATCTGTCTTATCTGTTAGCGCAGTTTTCACTATTCTATAATGTAAAGAATATATATCCAGTATGTAAATGAGTGTTCTATAAACCTTTTGTATAGGCGTTTTCTCTGCTCTTTAAATATCAGCCTTATTCAGAGTATAATAAAAATTATGACCTTGGTAAGTCTAATGAAGCAGGTGTTTTGTTTTGTTTTTGTACGTCTTTTGTGTGCATGTGTGTACACCTGTGTGTGTTGGTGAGTGTGGGTGCATACGTGCCTCCCATGTGCAGTGTGTAAAGATGAGAAGACAACCTTGGTTGTTGGTCCTCCACTCCCACCCTGTTTAGAACAGTCTCTTCTTTTTTTTGCCACACACCCCAGGCTGGTTGTTCCACAGACTTCCGGGATTCTTCTTCCTCCACCTTGCCTCTGGCCATGGGAGCAGCGGGATCGTGGATGCATGCAACCGCACTAGCTTCTTATGGGTCCTAGGGATTTGAAATCAAGTCCTCAAGCTCGTGTAACAAGCGCTTTTCCTCACTGAGTCATTTGCCTTCCTACATGGTCACTTCTGTGCCCCAAGTTGTATGTTGAATCTGTGCGTGCATTGTGTATGTGTGTACGCATGCGTACGACTGCGTGTGCACGTACATGCATGCACTTCTGTATCTGCTTGCCGGTGTTTGTATTTGGGTTTTTGTTTTTTCCTCTTCTGGTGTCTGTTTTGTGGGCCCCTGTGTTCAACTGCCTACCTTACATGTTTTGCTTCTGAGGACATAGTTTAGGGTGGTTGTCCAAAGGCTTTGGGGAAATTATATTTATGTTGCTAGGGTATGGTGGCACACGCTTGCAATGCTGGCACTTGGGAGATGGGAAGAAAGATGGCTACATGTCGAGGACACTCAGTGGTGCCCAGCAAGATCTTGTCACAAAAATTAACAGTGAAGTGTGAAACACACCTGTAATTTTGGGACCCAGGAGGTTAATACAGGAGTTTGTTGAGGCAGGTGTGAGCTGTATAATGAACTCCAGGCTAGCCTGAGCTACAAAATGGGTGACAGCCGTGGGCTGGTGGGGTAGCTCAGGTAAAAGCCTTGCTGCACAAACCCGAGTTCAGTTCCTGAGACCTAAAGTGCAAAGGAGAACCAGCTCCTGAAGCTGCCCACTGACCTCCTCACACATGTTCACACAGAACAGTAATAACACATCTTCAAAAGACTAATAGTGTGTGGAGGAGGAGGATGGTGCTGGGCTGTCGGCGGTGCACTGCATTTCCAGCCTAGCCACATGCAGGCCCCATGAAAGGACTTGAAGCTGTGTCTGTCTGCAATCCAAACCCAGCCCTGCAGAGCCCTTAGCTTTCCTGAACCTTCCTTGGGCTGTGGATCTGCTGGCTTTCTGCTCCCTTGGGCTGACCCCATCCTTCTGAGTCAGGGCCAAGGTCCACCACTAACCTGCTAGAACTAAACCTAAAAAGAAAGGCTGCTTCAGGCCCTGGCTGATCATGAGTAGATCACAAACACAGCTAGCAGCTTCTTTCTGGTCCATGCTTCTGTGTCCTTGGCCTCCAGGGCTTCTAATGACATTCATCTCATACTTCCCACACAGACTGCAGGGAGGTGGGCATGACATGACCAGATGTTTGTTTCAGAAATGAGCGCAGACAGGAGCAGGTTCAGTCTCAACAGGAAGCAGCTGGGGATCCCAGCAGCCATTCGCTGACTCTCTTAATCAGGGTGTGAATATGAGCAGCACAGATGCAAAGATCATTTACTGAATGTGACATCTAGGCACCCTAGGTGTTCATCACAGTGGCTGGGCTTGTGGGATAAACATGCTTTGTTTCTAAGTCCTTGACCTCAGAGGATCCAATAACTGAGGTAAGGGCTTGGTAGACAGGAAGGAGTTGCAGTTCATATCTCAGCACCTCTTGGGCTGGATGCCTCTACCTACCCACTGGATCCTCAGTCTAGTGTGCAGTAGACACTCAGGACCCCCATGCTGAAGACGCAAAGCCTGCCTGTGTCTCATCCTAGAGGTTTGACCGCAAGAGAATTCTGATCGCCTTGGGAAAAATCTCATGAGTTAGAATGGAGGCTTTCTGGGCAGGTCTCAGAAGATGAACTGGAGTTGCCTGAGTGAATGTGGGGCCCGGGAAATTACCAGGCAGGATGTTTTATGCCACAGAAATTGGCCCTATCTGGACACATTGGCTAACGGGTGTGTTTGAGCTAGCTAACAAAAATGGATGAGCCACAAATAACATTGAAGTTACCAAAAATCAGAGCCTGCTCCGAAAATCAGAGGCAGTTCTTGACAGGGTGGGGGCTCAATAAAGTGACACCCACCAGATGACCAAGATGTGAGACCCCACCCTAGAGGTTCCCAGATGCCTGGGAGATTCAGAGAGAGCGCCCCACATTGAGAGTACCCACCTCACTAGGGAAGCACTCTCTTCCCCCAGGCAGGGGAAATCACCACAGCAAATGCCACTCAAAGCCACTCCCTGCATGGGCCTGAGGTGCCCCTCTCCCACCTCCAGATTCCCCTGTCCCCCAGCCAACGGGGGGGGCGGGGGGGGGGCGGGCAAGGATTCTAGAGAAACAACAAATCAGAGGCACTGGGAAGCTGGGCTGGTTGAACTGTTAGCGGGAACCACAGCCCACAGAGCAGGCCCTCACCTGCTCACTCAGCATAACAAGGGTACTGTCTGCTGAAGTAGAAGACTCTGGAGACTCAGTCTGCTAGACTCATGGGTAACAGGCCAAATGTCTGAACTACAATGGAAAATTACCTGTCCTATCAGGAAATGCTCGCCACGGCTGAGAAAGATTATGCCAACATCAAGATGCACCAGCGGCTAGATTTCAAAGTAGCCATCATAAAAATGCTCCAACAAACAAATACAAATGCTCTTGAGAGGAAAACTTAGGAAAGACCTACAAGAAACAGAAGCTACAAAGTTAGGGGTATGCTGATGGAAATTTAAATCCAAACCTCCCTAGGAGGCTGGGATAATGGCTCAGTCAGTGAGACACTTACCATTTGTAATGCTAGCACTGGACAGAAAGACAGGAGATTACAGGACAGTGCTAGCTGGCCAGTCTGGACTACCTGGTGAGCTCCAGGCCAGTATGACCCTGTTTCTCCAACCTACACACACACACACACACACACACACACACACACACACACACACACACACACTATGTTTGACAGCCAAGTGGATGTGACAGGACAGAAGGCATGGGGGATCTGCAGACACTAACAAAAGCTTCAACACACAGGTCACTGGAGCACCAGAAGGAGAGGAGGCAGAGAGAGGTACCGAACAGCATTTGAAGAAATGGTAGCTCCAAATTTCCCCAAACCCGGAGGCAAAACATGGATTTATAAATACATGAGGCCAACTAAATAATATCAACCAAATTCTACAATGCAGGCTCGGGGAAACAAGCTAGACACACAAAATAACATTTCTTGATTTCATTTCTTTGTAGAATCTAAAAGATGAAGAAACACAGAAGAGTAGGGAATGGACCGAATATATAGAGACTGATACCATTCATTGTAGAGGAGGAGGACATGGTAGTTACGGTTCTGAAAACTCCAAACAGCAGATGGATGGAGACCTGGGTGCAGCATGTGGACAGCGGGTCATAATAGTGCTCCGTGTTCGCTTTTTTTTTTTTTTTAACCGAATGAGTGGCTTGTGGCTGATCCTCACACACCGAGATGGTGAATATATTAACTTGCTCCTGTCTACTGGTCACTGTCTTGTTCATGCATACACCTTGAATGTGCACATAAACTTTACTTTTAAAATCCTCGACAAGAAATATAAACTTCTGAAAACTAAAGATAAAGAGGGGAAAATCCTGTAGGGGGCCATTGGGAAATGCTGGATCTTGTGTGGGCACACATAAGCTGGAATGGCAGTGAGGTTGTATCAAGCTGTGAGAGACAGGACAAAGAGGAAACTTTTTGAAGACCCAAGGAACACAAAATGGACTGGATTTTTAATTTTTTTTTTAAAGGAAAGGGTCTCATTTTGCCCAAGCTGGCCTCAAACTCACTATATTTGGAATGAACAGGTGTGAACTGATACCCTAGGCTTCAATTATGAGTTTTGTTTTGTTTTGTTTTCTGAGATAGGACTTCTCTGTGTAGTCTTGGCTGTCCTGGAACTCGATCTGTAGATCAGGCTGGGCTCAAACTCACAGAGATCCACCTGCCTCTGCCTCTTGAGTGCTGGGATTAAAGGTGTGTGCCACCACTGCCCGGGGCCAATTGTGACTTCTATATTGAGTGAAACTATCCTCCTAGAATGGAGGAAGATACAGATGTTTTCGGGAAGAAGATGACAATTCCGACTCTGTAGCAAGCCTGCTGTTCTAGTTTGCTTCCTGTTGCTGTGGTAACCACCATAGCCAAAGAGAACCTGCAGAGGAAAGGGCTTATATCAGTTTACGGGTCACAGTGCATCACGCAGGGAAGCCAGGCAGGCTCTCTGCCAGGAACTGAAGCAGAGGCCATGCTTACTGGCTTGCTCAGCCTGATTTTTTAATTCAAACTAGGCCCACCTGTTAAGGTGTGGCACTGCCCACAGTGGGCTGGGTCCTCTTTCCCACATCAGTCATTAATTAATAAAAATCACGCCCACAAACACGCCCACAGGCCTGTCTGACGGAAGCATCTTTTCAGTTGAGGTTCGATATTCCCAGGTTTGTATCAAGTGGACAAAGCTAACCAGCGCATTAACAGTTGAAGACTGGCAGCCCATGGTCTTCACACAGAAAGGAACTGGGAAAGAGAGAAAATGGGTGCCTCAGGAAAGAAGGCTAACCTGCTGTGGGTGTAAATGAAGCATGGCCACCATTTCCTTACAGGTTTTATAATTAATATTTGATTACGGAAAGAAAAATTTCAATATCGTCTGACGCTCAGAAGAAAACATTTTGAAGTGGAGGTGGTAAGACACATAGATGATATTGAGAGTGCACAAGTCAAACCGTGTAGTAATTTTTAAATGTGGGTGGGTGTTTCATTTCTATATATTTCTGCCCCCTGTGGGGATGCATGATATCTGTGGAGACCAGAAAAGGGTGTTGGATGCCCTGAGACTAAAGTTACAGATGGTTGTGAGCCACTGTGTGGGTGCTAAAAATCAAACCCAGGTCCCCTAGAA